TTGGCAGCTTGCATATTAAGTGAGTTATTCATCTGTTAGCATCATGAAATGTCATTCACTGGTATAATTGCCTTTTTCAAGGTTTCTTTTAAGACCTAAATATTGATACCCAGAGCTTTGCAAGGACTCTCTCCTCCCTGTAAGGTACTGGAAGTCAGAGTTTCTTAATTTTCTGAAGATGTTCTATAACCAGCAAAAACAAAAAAAAAAAAAAGGCAGGAAAGAATGTGGAGTTCAGAAGTACTGCTGCAGTGGTAGACACAGTTTATGATGGAGAGGACGATGGAGCCAGGGCTTCTGGCCCATTGAATCTGCAGTTTGGTGTGTTGTACTCCTAATTACTTTTTAAGAGTTTATTGAGTGTCTCCCACCCAAACCCTGCCATTCTGCTAAACTCAGAAATTACTGAAGGCCATATCCCAATGCTTTTATGTTCTTAGCTGCTGCCTGTCTGTCTAGCTCTCATAACTCTGCAGTGCTTTATCTGAATCTCTCTGCCTGCAAGTTCTTGCTGTTGTTGTCACATCATGGAAGGGTTTTTAATTCATATACAAATAATACAGTTCTTATTGTGATGGTGATTCACCAGGGTAAGTCTTACAAATGCCTCTGACAGGAAAAAAGCTTTTAGCAGAATTTTTTGTAGGCTTGGAGTAAATGCAGTGGACAAAATCAGACAACAGAAACAAGTCCTGTATGAGAGGCACCTCTGTCATTCTTTGGTGAGTGATGCCCTTACCATGGGCAAACAGCTCATGGAACAGGAGGATCTTTCCTTGTGTACTAAAAGCACAACAGCCATAATTACAGTTCATCTTAATATGCAAGGATGAAAGCGCTGGCAGCTTAATCATTGTTCATGGAAGTGCAACACTCTCTGTTGAAAGAACTGATTCGATTGCTATGAGCTTGTAGCTACCTGAGTCTTCAAATTTGTGTCACTCTTTTAAATGCTTTAGTTTAATGCCAGTCAGAAGGAAAATAGATTTGGTCCTATAATGCAACTAGGGCTGATGGAATAATCCCAGTTCTTCCATGACATTAAAATCAAAGCTGCTGCTGATATCAATATTGCTTTCATATTATCTCATACACACGTTCAGAAATACTCCAGATAGGAGGAAATTTCATAATTTGAAATAAACTTTATAGAACAATATATTTATAACATCTCTATATGGAATAAGTGTTCTCCCTGACATATGTAAGCATATTCTTTTAATGAATATGTATAGTTTTCATGTTTTGAAGCATCATTAATTCAGCACTGTTTGCAGCCTGTTATACTTTCTAATTATACAACTGATAAATATTCCAGTGCTATGACCCTGGGAACAGTACTGCAAAGTACAAAACTGCTTTTTAAAGTTCACCTCCTCTTGTGGTTTACCAAAAGGATTCTTCTCCTTTATTGGGAAAGGGCTGTGAAGGAATTATGTAGTCTTCTGAAACCAAGTGCCATAGAAACCCATTTGAAGACAGCTTGATTCTATTAATATTAGTAATTAGTAGCAGTGTAATAGTACACTGTTGCCCAGTTATCTTCCCCAAATCAGACATTTCTATTCAAGAGTTGAAGGAGACATGCATTTGCACACTGTTCTTTGTGTTTGTTGTCAAATCTCTCTGCTCTACTGGCCTGTAACTATGCTGTAGTCATCTATTTTAAAAAGGCAAGCCCATCTTTCTTTGCATTATTTTTTGAAGACTGCAAACAGACCAAATAATGTTGATATTGATCTTGAGATTTTATCTACCATTAAGAATTAAACCTACTGGTCTTGATACCACTCCAGTCTATACTGATCATTATCTACATTTGGTGAAAAACTTCAGTGTAAATAGAAGGAAAAATTAATCTCCTTTTTTTGTCCAATTTGGAGTAAAACTTGAACCTGTTTTCAGTAGATTTTTCTACACTGTTGCCATTTCAGGTTTCCTTTGGTAGCATGCAGTCTGTCACAGGCTCTGCTCACCTCTTGTGAGCCGTGCACAGCTCAGTTCAGGCTGCAGACCCTGCTGCAGTGCAGAGATAAATGGGCAGTTTGCCCCTGCTGAGTTGATGTTGGCACAGCTACACCAGTACCAGCATCTGAAATACCTGAATTAACTTAAGTGAACTGTGTCTGCTCAGTGACTCTGGCCCTAGCCAGCTTTCAGCATCCTTGGGTTGTGCAGCATGTTTTGCCTCCTTATGAGAGCTTTGCAGGACCTCCAAAGTTGTGAACTGAGGAGGAGCATTTTGCTGAAGAAGCCAAGCCAGTGTCAGTGCCTGAGCCTCCAGGACTGACTGCAGCACTCCTGATGGATAGGTTTGTTCATGTGCTGCAACCACCATGCACACAGCAGCCCATATTCTCCTTCTTGCCACATCCCCTGTCTCGCAGCAAGTTCCTCTGGCCTCCTATAGCTCTCAGGAAGGGAAATAAATCACTTTTGTAATGCTCTTCAATCAGAAACCTTGTCTTTTGCTTGGTAGTATGCTCTTTTTATTGTCTTGGAATTATTTGGCACTTGCAAGCTCTGCTGAGAGCAGTAACTTGTTACTACAGACTTGTCCCTTCCAGCAGAGCTGACAGTGACACCTGCACTTCTCCCACATGGAGCAGTTTTTGTTTGCCTTGCTAAAGTAAAAAATGCAGCTACAATGCACTTATCACAGGGTATTTTTCTTACTTTTGTTGAAACTTCACTTTGTTTCAGTTCCAGAAAACAGTCAGAAAGCCACAGTGGCTTTTACCCCCCTTCTTGACCAGCGCCCTCATCTCACAGCACAGCACTGAAGTTTTGGCCAGTAGGAAGTTCTTTTCTACCACTGGTTGTGATATTTTTCAGGGTCCTCCATGGCAGGAAGGAAATGATGAATCTGACTCTATGTTCTTAGAAGGCTAATTTATTATTTTATTATATTATATTAAAGAATGCTGTACCAAAACTAGACTTAAGAATAGAGAAAGGATATTTACAGAAGGCTTAAGAAGATAATAATAAAAAACTCGTGACTGCTTCTACAGTCTTGACACAGCTGGACAGTGATTGGTTGTTAAGTTAAAACAATTCACATGAAACCAATGAAACAACCACCTGTTGGATAAACAATCTCCAAACTACATTCCAAAGCAGCAAAACGCAGGAGAAGCAAAATGAGATAATTATTGCTTTAGTTTTTCTCTCAGGCTTCTTAGCTACCCAGGAGAAGAAATCCTGGCGAAGGGATTTTTCAGAAAATATGACAGTGACACATGGTGGCAAAGATTTTTCAGGAAAAAAACAACAACAAAAAATTGACTGCTATCCATATCTCATTTTCATGGCCTTGGGGTTTTCACTTAAGAAGCAGAGATGGGCAGCAAAGGATTTGATTGCAGAAGGTGTATGGCTTACATGCTATTTGAGGCACCTCCAATTTCCATACCAGAGTAATGGCTCCACAGATACAGTTACGGAGATATTCTTGGCCCTGGTCCTGAATCATCAGCGAGGATTGTGGGCTTACTATTAAAAGAATAAGTGTTTCTTTATAATCAAAACAGATTACTCTAAAGAAAGTGAAAATGACCAGAGCTCCAAGCCAGCCTGTCTTTCCCAGGATACCGATAGCTGGAGAAAAGCAGAGGTCATGGATCATGTTCTGTCACTTCACCCTATTGGTATTTTTCATGTTTCAGGCAGACATCCAAAACTGGATACTTTTCCATAAAGCAAAAGCAGCAGAAACAAAATGGCAATAATAACATGCCCATTATCCATTGTTCCCACACCTACAGTATTGACACTACATCTGGGAATCTGATGTGCACCTTTTCCTTTCTTTTACTCTTTGCCTCCATTAAATCACCAGAATATTTGTATTTCTTCATAGCACAAATGTATTTAGAATACTTTATGATTATCTTAATGTATCTTTAAAAAATTGCTTTACTTTATGGTATTACATTTTGAAAGGGAAGCAATAATGTTTTTCTAGATATGATCTAGGCAGGACCCAAGTACTCTTTACACTGGATCTGTGAGATTTTTGATATGCTGGTATTTCATTTAAAGCAAGCTAACTCTCTTGGACTGTACAAGAAACACCTGTGTAAACCCAGAGAGAAATTTCACCCACAGAAAGTCCATTGTGTAGTCCACTGTCCTGTCAGATGGTGAACAATTTTGTCTGTTGAAACACGCCTTTTCCTCTTGAAATGCGTGATTTTTCTCCACATTTTTGAGACAGGGGCTTAAACTGGAATTCTGATAATAAACTTCTTGATATTGAGTGCTGCAGCAAAACTTGAAGTGCATTTCCAACTGTATTGTTAGATGAAATGTACATAAGAAATGTGTTGTATTTGATTTGTCTTTCATCATCACTCCTGCATGATGCCATCTTTCACACCACCACACATTCAGGACCTCATTTTATGCCTTCTTTGCAAGGTGATGAGAGGTGAGACAAGCCAACACTTCTGGGCAAGAAGGCCTAGGTTTTCTCTGAAATCCTGTTGTGCATCATCAGCTAAAGATGAGAATTAAGGTGGAAGGACAGAAAAGGTTGCTTTCCCTAACATAATCAATCCTTTGGCTTCCTTTGAGAACTGCTGTTTAACTGTTAGGGTGGTTACCTTTGTCTCCTTTTCTTTGTGTGTATAAAATGTTTCTGAATTCTATTTGTAAGAGTTTTCTGCTACAGGGAAGGAGTATGGGAAAATGTTCAGCCAAAGTAATAATAAATGGTAGTTATTAAAAACTGAGAAGGTGAGTGCAGAGGAAGAACATAATGTGTTTTTCTTACCCTGTAAGCTGCAGTTTGGTACCAGCACAGTTGTTTACAGGGAGGTGTGTGTGTCTTGACTTGCTGTTCCACCAACAGACATGTAGCCCAGACAGAAATATTTATTACTGCTTTTCAGAGCTGCACCCTGGTACAGCATTTCTGGTATGCTCAAATCTTTGTAGAGGAAGGAGTCTTCTAAGTTTTGCAGGATAATAATGTCATTCATTTGGGTTTTTTTCAGACAAGAAGCCCTTCTTGCTGCCATTAGTGAAAAAGATGCCAATATTGCTCTGCTAGAACTTTCATCCTCTAAGAAGAAGACTCAGGATGAAGTGGCTGCACTGAAACGGGAGAAAGACCGTCTTGTGCAACAGCTCAAGCAGCAGGTGGGTACAGGAGGGCTAGGAAAAATCCACTTAATAATCTGGTGTGGGACTATTATCTTGATTTATGGAACTAATAATGTATACTCTTGTCATATGTTAGGATGGAAATTGCATAAATAACAATTTCAAACTAGCTACTGGACTCAGCATTGAGGGAAGTTTCTTTGTGTCACTGCCTGAGTAGTAAATGTGTGATAGGATGTGTAGGAAGTTGTGAATGAAGAGGACATTGGTTATTATCCTCTACAGGCACAAATAGTCACAGATTCAGGGAATAGTAGTGATATCTCTCCTGGGGGTTTGCATTTGCCTTTTTGGGGAAGAAGCCTGTTTGGAAGAATAGGCTGTAGAGCTCAAATATGGATGTTACAGCACGCAGTCTCTCCTGTGATTTCTGATTGCAACTGGAGCAGTATGTGTCAGCTTCTAGAATGGACTCTGGGAGGTCTTGTGCTTGTGAGGAGATTGGTCCCTTCCTATTTCTGGCCTCTCCCATTCCTAAGATCTTTCTGTGTTGGCATAACAATTAGAAAAAGTGTGTTTCTGTTAAAGCATTTAACATTATGTTCCAGTACTGAATGTAATGTGAAAAGTACATTGCCAGTAAAACACAGAGGAAGCAAAAGGCATCCCTGGCAATAAGAGATTTAGGATCTGAAAAAAATCTGTGTAGATTTTTCACTTCAGCACTTCTGGTAGGTTTTCCTGAGTTATTCCCTTGCCACATTCCTCTTAATAGCACATATGCTGCTGCCAATCCAGTATCAACTTCTTCAGTGCCACCATTTCCATCTTCATAAAGTTTTATGTGCAACATTTCATCTGTCAACCAGATGATTTCTGTTGCTGTCAGAGAATGTAAGACAAAACCAGGTCAGCATTGTGATAAGGGATTTCTGTGCTTCTTCCTTAGCAAACACAAGTATGTTATTGGCCATGTTTTTTTAAGATAGTTATTTATGGTTTCATTTAAGAACAGTACTTTGGGGGGTTTTATGTACCAGCTTCAGAATGAGCAAGAAGTATATATTTCAGTCTTGTATTATTTACTTTTGAGCAACAGCTGTAATTACTGTCACTGGTCAGCTAGATCATCTGCTAAAACAGGAACCAGAACTGGTCACAGCAATGATAAGTACTTGTTTTGTTCATGCAATTGTTGATGCAGCAGCTGTAATTTATGGTACTACTCATTCCAAGAGAAATTAACACCACTTCTTGGTTCTTGTTGTCCTAAGCTTAAATTAGGTGCTTTCATGCCCCTTGCCCTTCCCAGTTTCCTCCTGGTTATCTTTTGTGAGTAGCTGGAACAACCTGTAATATTTTGTGGTGAGTTTTTTTCTGCTGAAAATCTGTGAATACTTAATTAACATATTAACATTGGGCCTATCTATAATGACTTAGGTTTCAGGTAAATAATTACTAAAACATTGTAGTTCCTATTGTTATCTTTCAGTGCTGGTAAGTCCTACAGTATCATAAACTCTTCCTAAAAAGACATTTCCCTTAAAGATACCGGTTCTACAGTGCTTTTCTGTGTATTTGTGGGATACTTAATTTCCCAAATAAATGAAAATTAAAAGGAGATTAATTTGAAATTGTTCTTGGTATGTAGTGAGACGCATTATGATTTGAGGTTGGAGCAATAGTCCTTTTTCAAACAATTCATTGGACTGTTGAAATGCCAGAAAGATTCTGGTTCCAAAACTGCAGTCAGCTATAAAGACTTGTCACTGTTTAAGGTTGTTTAAGATTTTAATCTTAAAAATAATGAAGAAAGCAGCAAGTAATCTCCTCAACACACCTGTGCTATGGATAGTATAAATAAAAGTTTTATGTGTAGTATAAAATCACAGGTATTCTCCAGTACATCCACAATCCCCAAGGCAGAATGAATGTTTACATATAAACAATCTAAACTACATTTAAAATATACCTGAGAAATATTTATGTGACCACACAGAGATTTGACACATCCTCCCTAAATTCTATCCCATGTTTTAAGGATGTGTCATCTTATATCCATTTTTTTTTATGTGCAGCTTTCAACACATTGATAGAAAAACTCCTCATTGCTTATTATAGGAGAGTATTACTCACCACCTCTATGAGCTGCAGAGAATCTAAAATTCCATTTTTTTTTCAGTGCCAGTAGTTTTGGTGTGTACTTTTGCTGAATAAATTCAAATCACACCAACTTTGACAGCTCCAGAAATAGGAGATGGGTCAGAAGAGATGGCTGTGAGATTTTACAAGATCTTCATTACTGATGTAGTCAAGGGAAATCTCATTTTTCCACATGCTTTGCAAATATTCTGTATACTTGGCCCTTGCACTCCTCTTCAGTTGTTCCAGGTCACCAGCCTCATATTTTCCAACAAAACAACTATGCTGCTTCCTCAGTTTAAACCTTCTCCACATGGACCCTTTTCTGCAGAACAAGGGTCCATCTGTGTTTGCCAGCTCCACAGAACCATGTCACCTTTCAGGAACTTCCTAGAAGTTCAGCTGTAATTCTTAAATTCACAGTAGAAATTGTAAATGAAAAGTCTTTCAGACTTGCAGATGTGTTGAACACAGCTGTTCAAGGAAGGCAAATGATGCCACAAATCAAGATATTCTGGGAGATTTTGAAAAGCAAAAAACCCAGAAAGTTTATTCAACCCTTCAGATTCAGAGCTGGGATCCTGACCTCAGTCATTCGTGTTTCAGAGCTGTTGAGGTCCCTGATAAGTATTTGGTATTTCAGTCCTAGGAAATGCTTAGGCTTTGTGGTGGGAAAGCAGCTCTTTCAGTTGGTGGTCAGACAGAGCTGAGTAAAAGATTCCCATTTCCACGTGCGTGGGATGCTCACAGAAATGCTGAGCAATGAGGGAAGGGCTGGTTTGTGGGAAGAGCTGTGCAAGCTGTGCTACCAGCATGGCTGGGAAGGGCTTCTGACAGGGTGCTTTAGGAAAGCAGTGTCCTGGCCATGCTGCAATAGTGAGTGTCAATGGATCCAAGTGTGTAGGATGGGATTTGGATCAGGATTTTCATTGCTTCTGCTGGTTACCATTGCCTGACTTGCTGTTAATTGACCTTTCTTAGAGTGTAGAAAGGTGCAACACTCACAAAACAAAAACTTGTTCCAACAATTGCCTGTGATTTTCATTTATTTAAAAGTATCAGTGAAGACACACAGGTTCATCAAGGGAATGGTATCCAGAATCTGGAGGGCTCTGCTGTCATTCCTTGTGCTCTGTCCTTTCCCAGCACTGGTCACTCACACAGGAATGGTGCTGCTGCACAAGAGAGGCAAGGAGTCCTGCCAAAGACATTTTGCTTCTTTAATTTTTCTAAGTATGTGCATTAAAGTTAGGATGAAGAGAAGCATTTTGGAAAGAGGATATGGCATCAATGTTGTTTTAATTTAGAGTTTCTAGGCTCTGAATTGCAGGAATGTGCCTCAATACAGAGCCCATTTCCTAATGAGGCGCTCAGCATTGCCCAGGCTCTCCAGTAAATGCAGCTGCCTGTTTCATATTGCTTGTCAGTTTGGATGAGGGATTTCCTCTGTCATCAGACAGGCAGGGCCATTGCAGGGCGAGGGTCACCAGCTAATGTGGTCCCAATTTATTCCTCCTAGGGCACTGTGTCTCTGTGGGTAGCTGAGGCAGAGGCAGTGCCTGGGAGGCTGCTCTGGAGGGGCTGGGCTGATGCAAGAGCTGGAGTTGTGTAACCAGATCCAGATGTGGTGTGGAGAGGGCCCTGCTGGGTGTCACACGGGGCTGACAGGGACCCAGGGAGCTGTGGCCTGCTTGGTGGAGCACAGACACTGCTCAGCTGCTAAGATACAGCCTGCTTGCCAGTTATCCCTTTCCTCGTCAAGCTGAGTTTAATATCAGCTTCTATTGATCGGAACAGAGCAAAGCACCACCCCACAGTTTCAGTGGTAAAGGGAAGGGATATCTGAAGGGGCTGAGGTTTTCCTGTCTGTGGGCTTTGAGCCTTAAACAGCTGGGATTTTCTGCTAGGAGCTGTTTGTAGCAAAGACTGCTATGTTCTGTATTTGTACAGTGTGTAGCAGAGTGGGTGCTTGACTTGAACAGCATCTCTGTCACTGCCATGCCATAAATGTGAAGTAATGAGTGTTAAAATTTTTAGGATGCTCTGAACAGTGTTAGTATTTTCTGACAGCTTGGAGTATTATTCAGATTTATTTTTTGTAAATAGCCATATTCACTTGTATTATTATATAATGTTTCATAATTATTATTATTATAGCAGAAGTTAGATGACAGGATCTCAACATTTTAATTTGAAATCATGTGACTTCAGATTAGATTAATATTACTTATGTTTTATTATGCTGCCATGCCTAAATCAAAGTTATTTTCAGATCAGCTCCTCAGTCTTTTAAGAACATGTTGAGTTTTCATTCTATACTTCAGCATGCTCAGAGAACCACCCATCTTAAGCTTTCTCCATGTGTTTCATAAATACACATTTTCTTCTGTCATGCAAACTGTTAATGAAAAATAGTGAATAATATGGGATCAGGAGTGAGCTCTCTGCAACTGAGTTGATTCATCCAGTTACACCTGAAATCTGTTCCTAAAGACTTTAGGTGAAGGAAACCTTCAATCCTGGGAAGTCTTTTTTATACTTTCTCTGGTTTTGTTATTATATGTAATGTCCCTTACTGCAATTTAAGCTGATGACTATTTTTTTCTGTTAGGGAGATAGAAAAAAAATATTTACTCCCTGTAATGTTCTTGCCATAGACACACAAAAGGAGCTCCTTTCTATTTTAATAAAGTGAGATGAGAAGCCCCATGCTATTGTAAGTGTGGGTTTTGTAGTCAGCCTTGCCATTCAGAGGAATCTTTGTTCTTTCCTTCTGCTTCCATATCCTCATCAAGGTTGTGCCTTCCTCTGTGGGCCAGCATGAATTTGAGGGGCTGTTATTTGACATTCCCACTAATGGAGAGGAATTACTTGGCAATGGTCAAATAGCTAAT